CTGTCCAATTGTCCGAGATGAAGGATTTTAAAAGTCCAATCAGGTAGCCAGATGTGGCAGTGCACAACTGTAATCCTATCACCCGAGAGGCTAAAGCAGGAGCAGGGTTATGATTCCCAAGGCCAGCCTGGCCTGCACAGTGAGTTCAAGATCAGCCTCAACTACGTAGAGAGACATTGTCTCAAAAATCAGTAAATAATAAAACTGCAATAAGAATTCAAAAGAGATTAGAGGAATTCCTGATGCTTGCAATGGGGACAGACAAGTGGACCCCGTAAGGCCTTGGGTCTTTGGGGTGAAAGGGGCCAGGGGTCCTGAAGGGTGCTGGGATGAGGCGCTTTCATGGCTTTTTTTTTTTTTTTTTTTTTACCTTCTCTACTCCAGACAGGCATGGCCCTGCTCTTTGTACTAGGTTGCATCTTCTTCCCAGCATGCTTTGCTGTCTTCCGTTGGGGCCTGCAGAACCACGCCAGTCTGCAGATGGAGAGGCAGGAGGCAGTTTTGGTGGCATCCAAGTAAGAAGACAAGGGTGAGGGCTGGTGGAGCTGAGGTTATTGTCTTTAACTATGATTTCTAGTTCCTGGAAGAATTAGTGATGGAACCTAACCAAAAATGTGGGCTGGATGGGGCTGGAGTTGAGCAGAGAGACACCTACCGGTGCGTGGGAGTACGCACCTGTAGTCACAGCTATCCAGGAGGCTGAGGCAGGAGGACTGAAAGTTCAAGGCCAGGCTGGGCAACTTAAGAAGACCCTGTCTCTGAATAAAAAGGCCTGGGGAGGGGCCGGGGAGATGGCTCAGTGGAATAAGCGCTTTCCTGGCAAGCGCAAGGGCCTGAGTTCAATCCCCGGTTCCGCCAAAAAAAAAAAAAAAAAAAAAAAGACCTGGGGAGGTAGCTCCGTGCTGGAGCACCCCTGGGTTTTATCTCCAGTACTAGAAAAGGAGAGCTATGGAGTCTCAATCTAACCTCTGAAAGGGGCCGGGTAGATAGCACAGTAGAATAAGCACTTGCTGAGCAAGTGCAAGGGCCTAAGTTCAACCTCTGGTTCCACAAAAAAAAAAAAAAAAAAAAAAAAAAATTAATCTCTGAGCTTCAGATTCCACCATTTGGAAGTAGACTGAATGGGCAGCACTTACTTTCCTTTCCCCACGGAGGTGTTATGAGGCTCCCAGGAATTTAAGGCTCTAAGGGAAAGCTTCATATTCTTGCACCAGCACAAGGGGTTCGGGCCCTTTGCGAAGTGTCATGCGCTGTAGGGGTCACAGGCATGTAATGGGGCAGCAGCTGCTCAGCTCCAACAAGGCCTCCCAGAGAACGTGGTCCCTGTGTTGTCTGTTCTCTCTCTCTCTCTCTCTCTCTCTCTCTCTCTCTCTCTCTCTCTCTCTCTGTCTCTCTCTCTCTCTCTCTTTGGCAGAACCAGGGATTGAACTCAGGCCCTTGAACATGCCGGGGAAGCGCTTATTCCACTGAGCCATCTCCCCGGCCCCTTAGTCTCTTCATTTTCATTGTTTTGTTTTGGGCAGTTCTGGGCCTCGAACCTAGGGCCTTGTGCTTGCTAGGCAGCACTGTGCTGCTGAGACACAGCCCCAGCTGTACCTTCGATTCTTTTTAAAAAGAAGTTGAATTTTTATGTGAAGCCTATCAACTTTTGAACACTGGACAGTAACTCAGAATAAAATACTAGGGGCCGTGGAGATAGCTCAGTAGAATAAGTGCTTGCCTGGCAAGCGTAAGGGCCTGAGTTCAATCCCTGATTACAAAGGAAAAAAAAAAAAAAAATACACTGTTGATAAGAATGTGAAGTAGCACAGTCATTATGGAATAAAGTATAGAGTTTCCTCAAAAAAAAAAAAAAAAAAAAGAATAAAATACTACACTAGCCAGCCATGGTGGCCTGCACCTGTAATCCTTGTATTTGGGAACCTGAGGTAGGATGATCTTGAGTTCAAGGCTAGGCTGGGCTACGTCGTGAGTTCAAAGGCAGCCTGGATTACATAGAACGTGTCTCAAAAAGCCCAAAATAGTGCCCACTCTGACAGCAAATATACTAGAACTGGAATAATGCAGAGGTTCACAAGGCTCCTCAGCTGTTTTAAAAAAAAAAAAAACAATAAACAAAAAAACCAAGCTGGGGATATAGGTCAGGAATAGAGCACTTGCCTATCATGTGCAGAGTCCTGAGTTCAATTCTCAGTTCCATGGGGGTTGTGGAGGGAGGGAGGGAGGGAGGGAGAGAGAGCGCCCAAGTGCGAGAGCGCACATTCTGCTCTCCTGGCAACACCATACTGGTCAAAGGAACCTGGGCTGGTTGGACCCTTAGACTGTGAATTTATGACTTACTTGACAAAGCTGGATATAAACAAGCTACAGGTAGACGAGAGGATGCGGAAGGACAAATTTGCTAGGGTGTCTAAGTGAATTCCTAGCATACAAAAACAATGAAAACCCCTGTCTTTACTCACTCTCATTGTCCAAGGCAAAACCAGGGCTCCTTGACCAGGTCTGTCCCCTCCCCATTGGCTTAGTCCTTTCAGGTCAGCAGCTTTTGCATTTTGCTCATCGTTGGCTTTGAAATCCAGCCTTACTGATGTTCAGGTCCCTAAGAATTGAACCCAGGGCCTTTGCAGTAAGCTATGTCTCCAGGTCCCTTAAAAATTATCTTTATAGGCTCTGGCGGGATAGCTTAGCTGTCTAAAGTGCCTGCTTGGGCGAACTCAGTCAGGCTCAGGGGACTGTGGTTCGATATCTGGCACCACATGCCACACCAGACCTGCCCTTAAGGCAGGTGAGCTGGCGAAACAAAACAAAAAGTTATCTATATCTATATCTATATCTATATCTATCTATCTATCTATCTATCTAATCTTTATATTTTATTCTGAGACACAGTCTCATGAAGCTACCCAGGCTGACCTCAAACTTGGGATCCTCCTGCCTCAGCTTACCAAGTAGCTGAGGTTATGTGTCTGGCTCTGTTTTTTAAAGTCTTCTTCTTCTTCTTCTTCTTCTTCTTCTTCTTCTTCTTCTTCTTCTTCTTCTTCTTCTTCTTCTTTCTTCTTCTCCTCCTTCTTCTTCATCTTCAGAACTCAAGTATTTTATTCAATAAACAAGGTTATTACCACTTGGGAAGATTACATAAGAACAAGGGTAGACTGGGTGTGGGAGTCTGCAATCCCAGAGCTTGGGAGGCTAAAAAACGAGAGTATCACTACGAGTCTGAGTGTAGTGAGAACCGGTACACCCTGTAATAAATACAGGAAGAAAAAAAAAAAAAGAACAAGGGGTAAGGGTGTAGCTGATTGCTGTTCTAGCCATGTGTGCGGTCCTGGATTCAATCCCCAACACACACACACACACACACACACACACACACACACACACACACACAGACGGAGGGGTGCGATAACAATATAATATACCTCTCATTGCCTGTAAAACAGTAAAACTCAGGATGCTGGGCCCCCTTTAGGTGAATCCCAGAGGTCAGGAAACCAGGTCTACAGGGGTCTAGCTCTTGCCTGGTGATTTCTTTGGGTCTTTCCCACAACGTACCACGAGAGGGCAGCACAAAATCGCAAATCTCAGCCTCTTTTGGGGCAGAGAGGGAGTGGGGTTTGGATTCTGAAAGACCAGTTTTAAAGTTGGTCGTTGAGGGACTTCTTAGGGCAAACCTGAAGCCCGAGTGCAGTCTACGTAGCCGGCCCCGCGTCACGAAGATCCCCAGGGGACAGCCGGGCTCAGGACAGAAAGGCAGGCTTCCAGGAAGTGGGGGTGAAGGAGACGCAAAGCTGAGTATGGTGGTGCAGGCCTGTAACCCTAGGAAGCGCGGGCACTTGCTGAGATCTTGTGAAAGAGACAAAGGAAAAGGAGGGAAGGCAGGCAGGAAGAAAGGAAAGAAATGGAAGGAAGGAAGGGAGGAAGGAAGTCAAGCAGGCAGGAAGGGAGGTGAAGACAGCTCCGGCAGGGCTTGCCTGGCACGTGGAAAGAATCCTGGGTTCAGTACCCAGCACAAAGCAGTGGGCAGCGCGACCCTGGGCGGGGCACTGACCTCAGTGACCCCAGCCCAGCCCTTGGCTGGCTGAGGGGCTGACCCAGCCGACCCCCAAGGCCATTTCCACTCAGAAAGCAGGTGTTCTGTCAAGTGTCAGAGGAGGAGGCAGGAGCCTAAGAGAGAAAAATGTGCTGGGGGTTAGGGGATGGGGAGGCAGGGGCGCTGGGGCTCCCAGGGCTCCGGACAGGCTTTCAGGGAAGTGTCTGCACCCTCTTCCGGCCCTTGGTCACCATCCTGACACCCAGGCCACAGCCGGGGGAGCCTCCCTCAGCATTGTCAGGGAACCCCGGGCCGTCCTGTAGAGGCTGGGCTGCTGCCCTCTCTGGGGCTCTCTGGGCTGCAGGGTTAGGGTGTCTCCGCACCTCCACTGCCCCGCTCCCCCCAGGGAACCCTCTTCTCCTCGGGGGGGGGGCCCACGCTAAAATTTCCCAGTCACTAAAGGGTCACACACTGGGGTGCCATAGCCAGGAGGGAATGATAGGATGGGCGTTTGCAAAGTGCTGTCGGGAAAGGGGGGCTGGGGGCCAGGGCCCCTTCCCAGCTGGCTCGGGAGCCCCAGAAGAGCCACCCCTTGTGTCCCTGTCCCCAACAGGCCTCGGCGCCGCCGCAGCCGCGGTCTCTTTAAGGGCTCCCCCCTTTTTCCCGCTCCCCCATCTCTGTCGCAGCCACCGCTGTGGCTCAGAGCTGCATGGGAGCCGCCGCCGCCGCCGCTGCAGGTCCGGTTTCTCGGTGTCTGGTCGGTGCCACCCCCCCGCCGCCCTCCCCCCGCGGGCGCCGCCCCTCCCCCTCCCCTCCCCGGGGGGCAGGGGGCTGGGCACCGACGCTAAGGCCATGTGCCGCGGCCGCGCCGGGCGGCGGGAGGCGGCGGAGCTCGGTGCTGAGCGCTGAGCGCCCGCCCGGCGGCACCACGGCCTCCCACGTGAGCCCCCACCTGCCGGCGCCCTCCCCTCCCCCTCTGTCCCCCGCTGCCGGTCCTCTCCTAGGTCCTCCCGTCGTCGCCTCCTCTTACCCGCTCTCGCCGCCTCCTTCCCTCCGCCCAGCCAGCCCCCCAAGTCCCTTCTCCTCGCGCTCCGTCCCTCGGCTCCCTCGTCCCATCCCGTCCCCGCCCGGTCCCCTTTGTGCCCCTTCCTGCCTCTCTCTCTCTCTTCTGCCCCCGCTCGGGGCCCCTTCTCCCCAGCTGCCTCCCCGACCCCCGTGGCCCGCCGGTCTCCCCGCCGAGTCCGAGCCACCATGCTGACCCCAATGGTGGCTGGGGGGGTGGTGTTCCCCGGACTCTTCCTCCTCTCCAAGAACACGCTCCAGCGGCTGCCCCAGCTGCGCTGGGAGGAGGCCGACGCGGTCATTGTCTCCGCCAGGTAAAGCAGCCCTGCCCTGGGCTCAGCCCTGCTCCCCTTCTCAGGCTCAGGAGAGGAAGGGACCCCAGGACTTCCCTGGGCCCCAGGGACAGGAGCCGTAGGGAGGCCTCACTGAGGTCGGGGTCGCAGGGACTGTAGCTTCTGTTTTGGGGGCCTCACTCACCTTCCCGGGAGACCTCAGCCAAATCCAGCCATCTGGTCTACTCTGTTCAGCCTGCTTTTCTGTCCTTCCTCCCACCCTCCGACACAGCCAGCATGTGACTTAAACATCCCTATAAGACATCGGGAACTGGCAGGGGCCGAGGGCCAGGGTTATTTGGGGCTAGTGGCTGGGGGACAGGATGCAGAGGGGGCAAGGGCAGACTCTGGTCAGCCCTGGAGTAAGGGCCAGTGTTGGCGTAGGAGCTTGGTGGGAAAGTGGGAACGTTGCTAGGGAGTTCAGGGTCACTGTGGGTCGGGGCAGAATTCAGGAGGCATGGAGGCCGGGTCCCCTGGTGCAGAGGCAGCACATGTCCCTGCCCTCCTGGCCCTGCTGCCCTCTACCCCTCCCCAGGGAAAGGCTCTCCCTCAGCCACACATCCTCAGTACTGTCACCTCAGGATGACCTCCCTGGTGTCCTCCCAAGAGGGGACAATTTGGTGTCACAATGGAAGGAAGGATGAAAGGTGCAAGGAATGGGGTGACCTGAGGCACAGGACACGGATGTGGGATGGTGAGGCAATCCCAGGGAAGCCCAGCCTTGGCAAGAGTGGGCAGGGGTGGCTCTGAGGGGGGACCGACTCCAAAGCTCAGGGGTCAGGCCAGGGAAGAGGACAGAGCGCGGTGCGCATGTCCTAGCTTCTGCCACTCCTGCCCCTGTCTCCCCAGGCTGGTGTCCTCTGTCCAGGCTATCATGGCCTCCACCGCTGGCTACATCGTCTCCACCTCCTGCAAGCACATCATTGACGACCAGTAAGTGCCTCCTGCCACCCCCGCTCTGTCCTGGCAGTCTGCGCTGTGTGCACCCTGCACACTGCAGGTCCTTAGGGAACTCTCAGTGGTCCCCAAGCTCCTCTCTGGGGCCCAGGGAAGCTCACTTAAATCCTTGCAACTCAACACCCCAGGATAAATTTATCCTGTCCTGTCCTCAAAGGTCAGAGCCAGGGGAGCAGAAATGGGGATCAAAGAGAAACCTCCAGGCGGCTTCTGGTTGGCTTCTGGGACTCTTGGAGTGATGGGCCCTAAGTGTTGCCTCCTCAGCTTCCTCCAGCTCTTACATCCCTCAGACCCTGTCTCCAGCCAGTACCCAGCTCGGGCACCCCCAGCTTTGTGGCCCAGGGGGAGGTGAGGAGAGCGATGACACAGCCTGGGCCATGAAGGGTCAGGCTGTGGGGGAGGGGAGGGACGATGTTGAGGCCAGAATTTGGCACTGGCAGCTGCTGCAGAGCCTGGTGCTTGCCAAATAGGCCCAGGCCTGGAGGTGGGGCGGAGGCGCTCAGAGGGGACGGCCCTGTCCATGGTGCTGACGGTAGTCCGGTGCGAGCGCCCATGGGGTGCCCCTCTCTCTTAGACCCGGCTCTGCTCTCCTACTCTGGCTGGTGTCCACTGGGCCCCAGGGGATTTGTCTGGATGATCCTGACCAAGAGGCACCCCCTGCTCTTCTCTGTGGCGTGAGGAATTGGCCTGAGTGTGGCAGACGCCTAGAGTTGCTCTTGGCTTGTTCTGGGCTAAGTTGGATTCTTCAGACCCGGCTCTTGCCTTCTCCCCACCCTGCCACTGGATCCAGGCTGACCCTGGCCTCCTCGCATTTCCTGCCCACCTCCTTTCCCAGAGGTCACCTTTCTTGGCTTTTGCATTTTCTACCTCCTCCAGTTCTGTTGTCACTCTGCCCCCCCCCCCCTTAATCCTCAGGTAGGTGAGGAGGATCAGGGTTAATCCAAGGACAGCAGCTGTTCCTGTTTCTACATACCTAATTGCCCAGTGCCTGGGCTTGGGACATAACATCCCACAGGGCAGCCCCAGGCCGGCCCCTCCTGATCGCACTGCGCACTGTGCAGTCCGGCTCCCATCCATCCATGTCTGCCAGGCCAGCTCTTGTGTCAGTGGGGCACTTCCCTGTATTCCTGCCCTTTGTTTCTGGCCAGCCACCTCGTCCTCTCTCCCTGTCCCCTATCACATGGCCTGGAACCACTGTGCCATGGGCTCAGGCTTTCTTCCCCTGCGTGCCCGGGGCCTGCCTTTTGCTGCCTGCATGCCCCATCCTGTCCTCACTGGCCTCCTCACAGTTGGCCTCCACTCCCGCTTTGCAGTGTGCCTTCAGCTGGCTTTGCCTTCCTTCCTCTGCCTTTCTGACCTCCCCCTTCCAGACTCGCCTCAGGATACAGGATGCCAGGGGCATCGCCTCGGTGCTGACTCAAGGAGAAAGATGCAGCGTTGCATATTCCTGCAATTCTCATTTTTGTTTACTCTCAAAGCTCTTTCCCTGTGTTGGGCACCTTTTACTCAGCACTTTCTCCTCGGTGCTCAGCTTTATGTGAAAATTCAAGAGCTTGGGCCACCACCAGGCAGAGAGAGCAGCTCCGGCAGCACCTGTCCCCCACCAGGAGGGTCCATTGCAGATGCATCTAGAGTCTTTTAGGGACAGCTGGGCCCAGCCTGAGGGCTGTGGCTGGGCCCTGGCCAGGTTACCTACCTCCTCATATTTCTTCATGGGTACAACAGGGATGAAAGCCTTACCTACCTCTTCTAGGGTGTGGGCACAGAGTCAGTAGGTTTGTGCCATGTAAAGATTCAGATAGCAGAACAGCGCCTGTGCACAGCATGTGAATGTGTGGTGCGCAGCTACGTGGCCTCCTCCGGTCATGCTCTGCTCCGGTTGTCCTGACCTGAGCCATCTCTTAGCTGTAGGCGTCTCTTCTTCTTCTTCTTCTTCTTCTTCTTCTTCTTCTTCTTCTTCTTCTTCTTCTTCTTCTTCTTCTTCTTCTTCTTCTTCTTCTTCTTCTTC